ACGACGAACATAACCTTACCGAAGGTAATATCGATACAGAGGTAATATCGGTGTGCCAGTTTAATGAAAAATTCCTTATCGCGAGGATGTAGCGGTATATCGAGGTCGTTTATTGCCACGGCGAATATTATTGTTCGTATCGTATCATCGGGGAAACGATCGAACCGCGATAATCGAAGGAGATCGCTTTTTCACCGAACGGTCCGTCCGGTAGAGAAGCATTCGTTCGCTCGAACGAGGTCGTCTGTATCGTCTGTATCGTCTATCCGAACGAAATAATATATTTAGTTAGATTAGGTGAACGTTGTATTGGCACCGATATAGAAAAAGAAGAAGAGGCCAAGGAAGCGATTGAATGAAATGTTTAACGAAGCTTGTATAGCTCGCGGTCACTGGACCGTGGTTATAGCTACCACCACTGTCACTCGCTCGCGCGATAAACTTTCGGCGTCTCGCCAACTTGCGCTTTCAACTTGGTTCGATGCAACTTGGTTTTTTTTCGATTCCGCCGCCACTATCGAACGTTGCTCGAACGAGGCACCCCGTCGATCGTAGGGCTGCTATCGATAAAATTCGATGATACGGCTTGCCGGGTTATAACGCGTCGCGACGTAACCCACAGAAACACAAAACTACGATAATGAATCGATCGCGCTTTGCGTGGCCACGGTCAAACGAGTTGCCACAGAACGATACAGTTATTTCACTAAATAATCGTTGCAACCAGTAATTTTATCGCGCGCTGCTTTGCAGCACAAGAAAATACGTAAAAAAAATTCGGACGAAAGTGTTAAGCGCGAATAAATTCGCGGTTCGAAGCAATAGCTACGTATCGTTAACCGAACGAATTTTTACACGCGTTATCGTCGATCACGGTACACGATCCTAGCAAGATATTTCAAAATTCTATCGAGCTATTCAGATACTTGCCAGATAGAAAATAATAATAAGATACATTATTTCTTACTTACCTTCTGCTATGTTTCTTACAGCGAGTGGTAACAACAAGAGAAAAATCACTTGGTGCCGGAAACGCGACGCGTTCGACAACGTTCGATGCAATTGCTAAATCGAACGAGCCACCGTCGCGTCGCGTCGCGTCGATTCGGAAAGAAAATCGAGTATACCGTGTGTCGTTTGCCCTGTCGGATGTAGGAAATTTTCATTATAATCCGATAGAAATTCAAGTAAGAGCGGACCTATTTAGGTTTGCTCGCTGAAACTTTCTTCGTATCGTTTACGCGACAATAAACTTTTACAGTGCAGCGCCATCTGTCAACGTTTCGTAAAAACGATTCGGTGAATTGTTTCGAGAGAAAATCGATATTATCGATAGGAGAATATTTCGAATATTCTTGTAAAAGAATGCCGAAATAATATGTATAACCGCGTGAAAATCTAAGGATGATTCTGGCTTCGTAACTCGGTCGATAACGAAGATATCTCTACTTGATGATGTTGCAAACATTAGTTGCAGCGAGCAAAGAACTTAATTGTTCTTAATTAGAATAGATTGAAGGTTGCCAGGGGACAAGTAAACGTGTACCGATCCATAGTATAGCCCTCCTGTGTGACCAATCCTGTAGCTCGTATTTACCGACAATCACCAATCCTAAAACGAAACTTATAGGCGCTACGATCGCCAATTCGGTGCCCTACATTAAATCGAATACGCACCATAATCGCTCCGTTTCTCTTATTATGATATTTCGTGTAACGAGAGTCGGCAATCGACGTTTTTCGATATATGAAATATTTCCCACATCCGATACGCGAGCACAGAGAGTCTTATCGATTGTCGCGCAACGATCGCCAACACTGCTGTATTAGAAAATTGTCGAAATAACACGCATAAAAATCAATGAAATTTACCACGTTTACGCTATCTACGTAATTCGAAAATACGTAGAGTAAAGTCCGGTTAAGCGACCGCCATTATCCCCACCTATTCTTATGGATGGAAAAAAGTAACATTCAACTAGGATCTAGGAAGATATCGTCAGTTTTCTTCCGATCCAACGCTGTAAATTACGACCGTTCGAACTTGAATAAAATCATTTTATATACACGCGGATATCCGAACGAACAATTTGCATATTCTGGCCATTTCCGATTCGATTTACAATGCGTACTAATATTGCAACTGCAACTCGCGCAATAAGTCCCGGATTGCGAACGCTTAACCCACAATGCTATTAAAATATCGCACGAACGAAATCAGTTGCAACAAGTACTTACCTCTGACGTAGGGACGAAGGCACTAGGTCCATCGAAAGCTGGCACTGGTACTGGAAGTCCTCTATCCTGTAACGCAAAATCGATCACGTTACTCTTTGTTTCTGACAAGGTAACAATAAGAACGATCGTGAAAAGCCTTCTGCCAGTTGCCCGGCTAGCTCAGTCGGTAGAGCATGAGACTCTTAATCTCAGGGTCGTGGGTTCGAGCCCCACGTTGGGCGAAAACGGATTTTTTTTTTCCGTTTTTTCGTCATGCATTTTATAACACGCTAATATAGAAGGAATACATTAAGCTTTAATAATTTCAACGAACCGATTGCTACGAAATTTTTACCGAAAAAGAATTATCTGAACTATTTACGATTATTATGTATTTTTGTACGAGTCGTGCACAACTATCGATCAGTCTTTACACATAGTGTATTCGCTGCTATCGATTCTATGAACAATGTCTAAAAAGGAACCCGTTATTTTTATTACGGGTATCGCAAACTTTCTCCGCTTTAGTTTTACTCGCTCTAGTTGAATCGTAACAAATATCGACTACAGTAGATAAAATCGAGTAATAGAATAGCGGGGAGGGGGGGAAAAAAATGTCTACTTAACGGTCGATTAAAAACCTTTCGAATCGATCGAGTTAAAACGGGCTGACATATTTTTAGACCGCGTTCCAAATCTGCTCCATAAATAGATAGTTTAAATAAGTCCGTGATTAACCGAGTAACAGTTAATCGTTGCCTCTTCCTCCCGAAAGCCGAGTGCGCGTAGATATCGTGTCGCGCGTGCAAGATAGAAAAATAGCCGGTTTTTGAAACGGCACGATCAGTACGCGAGCACGGAACCGCTCGTTTATTTACGAGGAACGCTACCAAAAGAAAATTGCTCCACGGAGCGTTTACCGTTTCTAAATGGCTACGAAACGAGATGCTCGGTCAGGTAGTCGTAAAACACGAACGATTCGGAGAACGAACAAATATTCCCGGCACTCGAGAGTAATCTCGAGCCTCTTCGTTCTTCGCTACCAGTCAATTTTATATAATCCTTTACGCATATACTGATAATAAGGTGATCATAAGGGAGGATAAAAGAGAAGTGCTTACCTTAACCATCTCGAGAATCTCCGCGCATTTGATTCTAACATTCTGAAAGGGACAGTTGACGCTGAGTCTCAATATCACGGGCAGATGCAAGGTGACCAGGCTGAGGTACTTGTTCGGTTGGGCTTGCCTGGGACCATCCAACGCGTTCCCCAGATTAAGCATCCTGCCAACGTCGCCAGGAGTGACGTCAGCGTTTTCGAGCACTCTGCCGCTCTTCGATGAGACATCTTCGTCCTGCGAGAGCGGTCTCTTGATCTGACCAGCGGTCAACTTCCTCTCCTCGTTGCTGCGTAGATAATCTTGCGACTGTTCGGGACGCGCGCATCGCTGCCGTACATCCTCGAAAGACTCGTCCGCGTAGATCTCGAAATTCTTCAGTTGTATATCCTCGCCACGATTATCATCCTGCCTCTGATAAATCTCGTTCGCGTTCTCGTTAGCGTTCGAGTTGGCGTTTACGTTCGCGTTCGCGTTCTCGTTCTCGAAACCGTCCAAAGTGTTAAACACCACCCCGTCTCGGTTCCTGACGGTGATTTCGGGTTCGTCGAACGAGATGTCGTCCACGTTGTCGTAACACGGCCGATCCCTCGTCAAGGTGTCCCCCTTCGAACGGTAATTCAAGTTCCTACGGTCAAAGTTCGCCGCTAGATTCTCGTCAAACTTTGGACTCTTCCCGTAGATCCTGGTGTCCGAATCCAACTCATCGTCCTCCAACTGCTTTTGCTTGGCTCCTTTCACCTTCGCGTAGTTCTTCGTTCTGGGCCTATCCTCGAGGCTAACCTCGTTCAATCTCTCGTTGGAGGACGAGCCAAGGTATTTTCGTTCGCTCTCGCTGCTCGAGCCGAAACGAGTCTCCGAGTTGTCCTTAAACCTGAGACATCGATCCTGCGTCTGCGCGTCTATCTTGAAGCCCTTCCCCTCGTCCGACGACGTCGAATGACCGGACCTGTAGCTGTCCACGTCGGTCACGTATCTTCTTCTCTCGTTCGGTGTTCCGTAGCCTGTCTCGTTCCCCAGACGGCCGTCGACGCAGTCGAACGAACCCGACGGATATCTCTCGGAACACTCGAGGCTGTTGTCCTCGAGGAACGCAGGGATCTCGGTAACGCTTTGAGGAAAGAATCCTTCCGTTCTGAAGGTGTCTTGAAGCAGCTGTTGCTGACGCGGAGGAGGCTGCACGTTCTTCGGCGCTGACTTGGTCGGTGATCGCTCGATGCTCATGTCGTATCTTCTCTCGCGGAAAGAAACCAACTCGTTAGGACATTTATTTTATACGCCGATAGATACGAGATCTAATGCCGCGACGGGCTGATAAACGAACGTCCAGGCCGCGCCGTGAAAGCGTATCGAGAATCTATCTAACGTAAACGATAAACGATAAACGATAAACGATAAACGACAAACGCGAACGAATATCGATATAGCGGCGCGGCCGCGACGGTACATCGAAAAGGATCGAAACACACTCACCTTCCGTCTTGGCTCTTGAATTTTCCTCCGAGACTCTCGGCGTCTTCCATCTCACCGGTGTCGTCCCAGTGATTCGGGCTCCCAACGCCACCGAGCCAGCCCTCGACCGTGTTCCTGGCCGCCGCCAGAGCGATATTCCTGGCAGTTTCATCCCTCGCGCACAAAGGCGCTAAAAATCTGCTAACGATCTCGACCTCGTCGCCCTTCGTCGAGCTGCCGCTTCCAGACAGAGTCGAACTGTTCGGATCTCTGTACATCTTTCACGCGTTACGCTCGCTTTTTCTCCCGTATTCGCTCTTTCTCTCTCTCTCTCTACTTCCGCGATCTGCCACCAGCTTCTCGCGTGCACGCCAACGTACGAGATATAAGAGACGCGTTCTCTTCGACGGAAAAGGTACGCTAATAATATGATCGAAAATACTTCTCGTCGCGAGGTAGTCTCGTGTAAACCACGATAAAGCTGAAAACAGAAAGGAAAAAATTCGTTCGACGACCGGTAACACCGCAAACGAACTAGTTGGACGATCGGACATAGAACGATGACGATATCGGTACGTCGTCGGTATCGGAATGGTAAAATCTTCTACCGGCAACTTACCGCGCGATAGTTGGTATTTTTTTCGAACCGGTTTCAAGGAACGAGGCAAACAGTACCCGCGAGCAGTAAGAACTCGAGTTCATTATTTCAGCAAGCATCCGAGTATTCGCGAATACAATTATGTCTATTATTTACTAGACATAAGTCAGTCGACGAATACTAAACACATTTGACGAACGGCCGATCATATTTATGAACCGAGCGAAGATAGAAGAATAAAGAAAACGGGGAATAAGATTATGAAAATATTTTCTCGCTGTTTCGTAGCAACGATTCGTCGCTAGAAACCCGTTTTTCCGGAGGATTTAAACGGAGAGGTACAGATTTCGGTGGTGACCCGAGAGCGATAGAAAGTAGGCGGTGTCGAGCATCTAGCCGAGGGTTCGGGGGTTAACAGCGAACAAGGAAAAATAAAGGTTCGAGTAGAACCCACCTTCGAAAGGAAACGATCGATCGGGCACTCGTTTAAGGAACCGATCGATCGTACCGCTCTTCTTTCTTCGATTCTTCTTCCGTTCGATTCCAGTTTCTTTTCTGCCTCTGTTACGTTGCTTCGTAGTACGCGACCTTTTCGTCTATCGGTTTGTCGCAATTACGCCAGCGGCTTACATTGTTCTTTACATCGTTACGCGCGATTTTTCGATACCCTTCGATAGCCTCTTGTCTCTGCGATCTTCTCGTTAATCCATGCGATTCCCTGGAACAGACCAACAGAAATCCCCGATCAGTTCGTTCGGAGAAAATGTTACGATCCCGCTCCGTGCGATTAGAAGAGTAACTAGCCGTTGTCTATAATCGATTTGCTTAGCAAGTTATCGGTGCTTCAATTTGTCCCCGATTGATCGAGATCGGTCAGCTTAATATCCATCCGGAGCGGAACACGACGCGACTCCGTCGAGGACGACGTAACCGTTACCGAAAGCTAATAGGGAAGCACTTTTCCGAACGGTGATTATCCTCGATCGAACATTACGTAACGAGCTCGATCGAACGCCAAGCGGAGAAGACCCTTCGAGCTTGGTCCATATAACAGCGATCGCATTCGGCTAATTTCAGCTCGGCTCGTCATTATCCGAAATGCGAGATAACGAATCGATAATAGGTCGTATGCTGCGATCGCGAACGAACGAAAGGAAAGAACCATTACATCGGACCGTTTACGCAATTAGTCGATGTCAGGCTGCGGCAGTCTTCCCACTGATTGATCGACCCCCACGGGAGAAGGCCTAGGTCAAGGCTGACGGGGTCAGGAAATCGCGAGAGGTCGCGTGAACGGCGCTGCAACTTATCGAGAAAGGGGAAACCGAGCCAACTGGCAACCGGTATCCTCGACGAGACGAAGAAGGGCTGGCTCGACGTCCGATCGGCCGAGCAGCTCGGTTAGAATTATTTTTATTATTTCTCTTTATCTTAAACGAAGATATTCGTTTGCTCGATTAGTTCGTCGGCGACGACTGAAACACTTCCTCAATAATTTTCTGCTTAATCGATTCTATCCGAATGAAAGGTAGCGAGAGTACGAGAGGGATATTAAAAGTCATAGACCGGTCACGCGATCGATGCGAATCGCGAAAAAGGCCTTTTCTTCAGAAGAACAAGGCAACCGATAGACGCGCATAAAAAAGGGCGAAGGGAGACGAAAAAAGCGAAGGTTATGCATACGGACGAGAAAGATGAACGGAGAAACTCGGAGCAGAGATCCGTGTTTATACCAGAACGAGAGCAAGCAGACGCATTCCGTGCTTTTGCGACGCGACGCGACGGGGGAACGTCGTGGTGCTGCATGAAACAGCGCGACGCGAGTTTCGGTGCGTGGGATCGAATGCTTTCCAGTTGCAGCAGTTTATTACCGTTTCAACGCCACGAACATTTACGCAATTTCACTTTGCCGCAAAGTGGAACGCATCTTTTAGTCGCATAGAAACCGCTGTTGCTGCCAGATCGATCAGTTCAAACTTTCTTACTTTTATTGCTTGCTCACGTTATAGCCTCTCTCTCTCTCTCTCTCTCTCATTTCTTTTTTCTTCACGTTTCGCTTAACGCTGCTTAAAGTTGTAATAGCGCACAGTTACAACGTAATTTTACATTACGCAGTTGCTTTTTTCCTTCGCTTATCTACTTATTCGTCGGGTTTTTCGTTTAATTCGCTGTAACGAATCAGGATTTTGCTGAATCTTCCGAAAAGTTTCTATCGTCGCTACTTTTTTTTAATCCTAATAGTAAGAGTCTACGTGTGCATACCGTATTCGGTTGCATGGCATATCGCGTTTTAGTCGATATAAAATTCCACTTTCGTTTCGAGTTATTCTTTGTCTTACTTTTACCCGCTGTAACGAACGATCGTTTCGCAGAGCAGGCGAAGCAAACGATCGAAATAATTTGACAGTAGACAATAGTTAAATTCGACGAAGACTTTTAGACGCGCTAACGATGATCCTCCGTTTCGCTCGACAGCCTGGCGCTTTTCTTGGTCATACCAATAAATACAGACGTATATCCGTAACAAGCGGTAAGCTTACGTTACCGATATAACGCGTGAGCCGAGATTTATCGAGATTTATCGAGATTTATCGAGATTTATCGAGATTTATCGAAGAGGAAAACTGAGAGAAAAACTGAGAGGAAAGTGCGGAGAAAGGAAAGGAGAGGAACGGGACATTAAGAAAGAAGGGAAGAAGGGGATTCAAGCGTTTCTTCGGTCTGCTCCGGATCTTTGGAACGATCTAAATATTTATAATTCCCGAAAGCCTAACCCGTCCTATTCGCGCTGCTATGAATTATTAATGGCCAGCCGTGCTACCGTATGCCGGTGCACGCTGCCGTGCATTCCTGATACCTGTACTTTGTCTTCGCGATAGATACAAGGATGCTCTCGCGGATCTACGGAACGATAAAACGGTTGTCTCACGTGCCGCGCCCCCCATTACGATTTAACGAAATCGGGATAAATCGAAGCCGAAGATCGCGGTCCGATCTTCGGATCTTCGGCTTTCCATACGCTTGGTCCCTTTCATTTTTATCCCTACTTTCTACAATATGTATTCTTAGGTCGTTATATCTTTAGACCGAAAATATAAAAACCATTGCAAACGCGATGAAATTGGCAGGTAAATTTTGAGATTTCGCCAGATCGTAGGACGGATCCGAGTCACGTCGAAATAGACGTGACTTCTTTTCCTAGGCTTGTATGTCGTGCACCGTCGCTCGCTAAACTAAAGGTTTGATGCATCGGTAAATCGAGAAGTAGCGGTTCATCGGTTTAGAAGCGAGTGTTTCTAAAATCAGCACGGAGGCTCGATGCAGTTCGGAAGCGCTCGCGGTAGCTCAGCTGTGGATAACTCGAACGAAAGACCGTCGCGTTGGATCGATTCGACGATCCGAGGAGCGACACACGACACGATAACGGTGCAGAAATATAAAACTCGGTTAGCTAAACGCTAACCACCGTAATCGCGCACAGTGTACGTAGACGAAAATATTTGAGAAAAATACTGTCCCGTCTACGGTACTAATACGTTATAGTAACGTTATAGTAACGCAATCGTTATAGAAAATTCCATTCGCCTCGTTTAGCTCGGCGATATTCCCGTGGTCGGTTAGGTACTTGTTGAACGTTATTCGCGTAGCCGAGGTAGCCGTTGATAACGAGCATTTCACGGATTTAACGCGAGCGAGCATCGGCGCGGTGTCCAGCGCATAGCGAATGCAACGGCTGTCGGTCGCGCGGAGCCAGCATAATAAGTAAGAGAAACGGTACCTAAAATAATGTGCTTAATATCGTGTCGGCTCGACTTCCATTCCCCAGCTGATACACGCCCTCTATTCAGGAACAGAACAGATGTACGGATACTAATGGGCACACACGACCCATTGTAACGTACGCTTTCCGAGGTATGCACGCAACACTTGTTGAGCATTAGTCTGTCTCCTGCCGAGCGGAGTTTCGCGGATTCGTTGATCCCGCTTAATCTGTCCCGTAAACCCCGTACCGCCTAGCCGAGTCGCGAAACATCGTCTTGAAGGGACATGAAATGTTCCTCCGTGGCGAATCGTAAAAAACGAGAAAGACTCGTATCGAGTTTTTCATCGATATTTAACGCGAACAAAGATCGATTCGATCGTTTGTTTCGAGTGTTTCTACAGCTATCTGCCGCGTACTAGAACTCGAACGGACGTTATTCGACGGTTGCAACTCGTCCGCGAGATCAGGCTGCAGATTTCTCCTTGGCAATCAGGGTCGTATTCCGGCTCCCTCTACGCGGCTATCCCGACCGAGCTAGCCTCTTTTCCGCCTACTCCCTCCTTCGCACGGCGTATTACATTTATTATCTCTGTCTCTCTGCTCGCTGTGCCACGAGCGCGAGACGCGACCCATCGCCGACGCTCGAGGACACAGTCAGCAGATTTCGTTGCGCGAAATTTCCTCCTGCGCCGATCGCTGATCGGACGTTCAACAAGTGTCACGCTAACGTCGGATGGTGCTACGCACGATGTAGCGATACGAAACACTAATATCTAACACTAGTATCTAATATATACCAGTCGTCTTGGTATCGAATTAACCACCGTAATCGCGCACAGTGTACGTAGACGAAAATATTTGAGAAAAATACTGTCCCGTCTACGGTACTAATACGTTATAGTAACGTTATAGTAACGCAATCGTTATAGAAAATTCCATTCGCCTCGTTTAGCTCGGCGATATTCCCGTGGTCGGTTAGGTACTTGTTGAACGTTATTCGCGTAGCCGAGGTAGCCGTTGATAACGAGCATTTCACGGATTTAACGCGAGCGAGCATCGGCGCGGTGTCCAGCGCATAGCGAATGCAACGGCTGTCGGTCGCGCGGAGCCAGCATAATAAGTAAGAGAAACGGTACCTAAAATAATGTGCTTAATATCGTGTCGGCTCGACTTCCATTCCCCAGCTGATACACGCCCTCTATTCAGGAACAGAACAGATGTACGGATACTAATGGGCACACACGACCCATTGTAACGTACGCTTTCCGAGGTATGCACGCAACACTTGTTGAGCATTAGTCTGTCTCCTGCCGAGCGGAGTTTCGCGGATTCGTTGATCCCGCTTAATCTGTCCCGTAAACCCCGTACCGCCTAGCCGAGTCGCGAAACATCGTCTTGAAGGGACATGAAATGTTCCTCCGTGGCGAATCGTAAAAAACGAGAAAGACTCGTATCGAGTTTTTCATCGATATTTAACGCGAACAAAGATCGATTCGATCGTTTGTTTCGAGTGTTTCTACAGCTATCTGCCGCGTACTAGAACTCGAACGGACGTTATTCGACGGTTGCAACTCGTCCGCGAGATCAGGCTGCAGATTTCTCCTTGGCAATCAGGGTCGTATTCCGGCTCCCTCTACGCGGCTATCCCGACCGAGCTAGCCTCTTTTCCGCCTACTCCCTCCTTCGCACGGCGTATTACATTTATTATCTCTGTCTCTCTGCTCGCTGTGCCACGAGCGCGAGACGCGACCCATCGCCGACGCTCGAGGACACAGTCAGCAGATTTCGTTGCGCGAAATTTCCTCCTGCGCCGATCGCTGATCGGACGTTCAACAAGTGTCACGCTAACGTCGGATGGTGCTACGCACGATGTAGCGATACGAAACACTAATATCTAACACTAGTATCTAATATATACCAGTCGTCTTGGTATCGAATCGATATTATCGCGGATA